GACAGACAGACAGATAGATATATAGATATGCATAGCGATGATGAGTCAGATGATAGCTTCGAGGATATTATGAGTACTATTAGCAACCGTATTACTATTATTATAGTAGTAGTACTACTAATTCATCTGCTGCGCCGACTGGCCGAGGCTTTTGGATTTTGGATTTCCCTTTGTCCTCTCCGGCTGCCCCCTCACACCTACGTCCCGTATTCGCCGCCGTGGCCAGCATTCTCCTACCCTTTTTGTAGGTGGTGCACCGCTTGCTGCGGCGAGGCGACAAAGCCGCCTGCTTGGAGGCTGCATGCGACGTGGTAAGGTCTTTTGTGCAGCAGGCTTTGTCAAGTCGGGCTTTGCTGACGGCCTCTCGCCAGACCTTCGATAGAGTGGCTTAGCTCTGTCGGCTTCAGGCTCACGATCGACGGCATCAATTTAGCTTCGCCAAAATTCATTTGTTTGTTGAGTTTGCAATAGACGCGACCAGCAGTCTCTCAGCCTGCCGAATGACATGAAAAAATATGTACCGATATACCCTATACATCCACCTGGAAGGCTGTTATGCGGATGCCGCTCTTGGGACTTGTCTGTGAGAAAGTCCCACCTTGTCAGCGCGAGAAGGAATCAGGAGAGAAGCATCTGCAAAGACATCGCCCAACCAAGGCTCGTTGATGAGCTCGTAGGCTAAGACATACCTACGTCGCACTTGAAGGGAAGGGTTTGGGGTTTAGGGTAGACCGCTGGCATGCCGGCATGCACTTGGGAGCTTAGGATTTCCCTGGGCTGTGCTCCAACTTACCCGTAGTCAGTAGACGCTGACAAAATGGGGAATAGCATTCTTATTGAATCTCCTTTAGGGTTGAGGCTTTAGGGCGACCTGGGTTCTGGCCAAGTTCACTGGCCTGAAACAACTCACTTTGGGGTAGTGTTTCTTTTAGAACGTAATTCCGAACATCCAGTTCAGAGGGTACTGGGATTCAAGGACTGTAGGAAACTGTCGGATCGCACTCAAATCTTGCTGGCAGCCAGCGAGGAAAAGTTCAAAAGTGTTCGACCTTGAAGAGTCCATCCAGGCTTTGCGGTCTAGGATGTATATATATATATATGCGGTAGTAGAAAACAGTAAGGAACATGTGTCCAAGTTGATGCCAAGGTGCTCATTGCTCCGGAACCTACGAGCGACCTTGCGCCAGAAGTCGGCGAAGGCATCAAGCCTCCCCGACTCATTGTTGTAGAGGAGCCTTGGTGTGGTGTTACGATTTCGGGCCGCGGTTCACGGATCAGGGCTTAAAGCTTGAGCCCTAAGCCTTAGGCCTTAAACCCTATTAGGCCCTATATGTGATTGTCGTCGTGGAACCTAGGTCAGGGTGTAGGATTTCCGGTCGTATGATTTACCAGTGTTTACGATGCAGGGTTTTGGGAGTTACGATTCAGGGTTTCGGGATATAGGGTTGAGGATCAGGGCTCAGGATTTGGGGCTTGGGCTTTTGGATTTAGGATCTCGGGTTTAGAAATTAGGGTGTTACTGTCTAGGGTCCAGGGATAATAAAACAAAAGACCTGTCTTGAAAGAGAGCAAGCCGTCTAGCGAGCGAAGAAATCTTGAAGCAATTGAAACCACTCCAGTAGTCGCCTCATGGTTCCAAGTGCAAGGAAACCTGGGGTTCTAGCATAAAAGGGCCCGAGGCTGCTCCAGCCTCAGGCCCTTCTTGGGGGCCGGTGAGCCTTTTGTCTTTTTTTTTCGTGTTTCTGCCTTCTTTTTATTTTGGAGGGGTTTAGAGGGCCTCGCGGGTCGCCCTAGTCCATGGCCGTATAAGAGCCCAAGAACCTCGCAGAGCCTGTCCGAGCCTCCCCAGAGCTTCCCCGCTTTCTTAGCCTCTCGGGAATTTTTCAGGACTGGGCCTAAACAGCCTTTTTCGGCTTCAGGGCTTATTGGGTTTTAGGACTTCGGGCTTAGGATTTTGGGTTTTAGAATTGTTGGGTTTTAGAACTTCGGGCTTAGGGTTCCCAGAGCCCCTCCCACGTTCGAAAACAAACCACCGTATGAGCCACAAAAAAAAGGGGCAGAAGAATCTTACTCTCGATGAAATCTATAGGTATTCCCAATGGAAGAAGGCCTCAGAGGGGTGCGGCTGCTACAGTTTCTCCAGGTAGCTGGGCTGCGTTGGAGAGGGCACGGGTCATGTAGAGCCCGGCCCACCCGATCTTTCCAGACTCCGCTTCGCCGCAGTTGCTGATCCGACCATATGGCCCTGAGTAGGTATCCTCAAGTGGGCAACTGTCTTAACTCCAACAAGGGGGTTCATCCAGGGGATTATATTTGGGGGAGTAGTATAGGGATTATTAAGGGGAATAATGGGAGTTAGGTGTCCAGGAGGATGTAGGCCAATCTCTCACCCCAAACCCTAAACCCTACATGGGGCTTTAGGTTACCCAGAAGAGTTGGTGGATACATACTGTACAGAGAAACCATAAACCCCTTTTCTGAACCCTGAACCATCCTACACGTTAACCCCCAAACCACTGAATCCTGAAGACTAAACCCTAAACCCTAAACCTCATAGATCCATGAGAGATCCCTTTACAGCATTTGTTGTGCCTTCGCCGTTTGGAACACTATGGTAGAGTTTCATGGTGCAACAAAAATATGTGCCTGACTGCATGGGGTTTTCTGTGTAAGAGCTGTGTTTCATGTTTACAAGACAAACCCTAAACCCTAAACCCTAAAACCCGCAATCCTAAACCCTAAACCCCTAACCCTAAACAGGTTAGAGTTCCAATGAACAGTACAGGCTATTCACAACATGACGGACCAGCGAAGCTGCGATCCCGAACTGCTCAAGTTTGCTGGGCACATGAATCTGATTGGCAAGAGTTCTCCTTGAGTAGGCAACTGCCAAACAAACAGCGCAAGGTGTTTGTACATATTGAAATTGAAGGGTTGAGGTGCCATGAGAGCTATCCCCAAGGCGCGCGCTCCGTAGCTTGGGAGCTACTTTCTCGTGATGGTGCTTCAATTCGGGCTTTACAATCATTTCAGGCAGGGGCACCGATTCGGAAGTCTCTTGGTAAGGTTTATTCGCCAAGTGCACCGCATGTCCATGGCCCTTGTATGCTAGAGGATTTTGATGCGATCTGGAGACAGTACAGATCTCTTTCATGACTCTGAGCCATCAGGTCGTTCGTTATGTTATGTTATGTACGTCATTCGTTTCTGGATTGCGCCATGACTGCTTGCATGAACCCTGAACACTGAACCCTGCTAAGCTGCTAAGCATCATTTGGACCGTATTTCGGTTTGGCCACAGGCTGGGGAAATGCCCATCGGCCATTTCTGTGGAAGTCGTCTGAATCCGATGGCCACATGTGCCACTCAGGCAGTCCGTGTCCACAGTACTGTTTGGCCAGAAGGTCCTGGGGAGGACGAATTCAGGAGGGGGGTCTGCGAGGGGGGTCGAGTCCTCAGGGCTTAGAGTGTACACAAAAGGAATAGAAAGGAGCACGAAATTAGAAGTACAGCTTGCCTATTTCTATGAGTTCAAGTACCTCAGTATCTGTAATATCGTCAAACACCCAGTGCCATAACCTCAACAGTTCTGGGTAGCTGAAACCATCAAACCCTCAGAGATTCCAGACCCACATGGACCCTGAAACCCTAGGGTTTAGGAAAGGTTTGGGGTTTAGTACGAACCTACTTCCTAAGTCCCCCTGGCCCTCCAAGTAGGGCTAACCCTCGAACAAAAAAAACAATCCTAAATCCAAATCTTGACTACTGCTATAGACCATGCAATCCTAAATGCAGGGTCCTGGTGCATGTCCAGGAAGGAGAGAATGCCCCGCCTTCCCAATGCGTTCACCTCAGGGTTCAGGGTTTTTGTTGTCAGGATGCAGCGACAAGGGTGCAAGGCTTTGGGGTGGATTGAGAGTTGAAGCTTAAGGTTCAGGGTCTAGGGAGAAAACATTGTCAGAATTACAGTTATGCTCCTTCTTCTTACTTCCCCAATAAGCCATGGAAATAGAAGGTCAAACTTTCAGGTTACTACTACATTCTAAGAAGCCAAAAAGGTTAAAGGTTGGGTATTGGGGAACTCAGTATTTATGAAGAGCGTATGAAGAGCGTAAAGTTGAACAGTATTCGCAAAAATGTTCTGGGTTGAACATCTAATCGACGACCTCAATTTCCCCAAGGCCACGATGGCCAAAGCCTGCGCTTCCACAAAGTCCAGGTACGTCTCGTCGAAGAGGCCGGGCTCCGTCTCGTACAAATCCCAACTCAAACCCACTCGCGCTACATTGAAACCCAGATCCTTCATGACATCCATCTGCTTCTCCGAGAGCTCCTGCTCTTTCCCTCGGCCGTTCTTTAAGGAACTTCAAGTACATTCAGATAATCTACCGCTCTATAGGGAAACCCTATTCTTTTCTGCCTACGCACCGTTTTGTCACTGATCTCCAGTTCCGAAACAACAGGCTAGTTTCGCGAGTTCTTGCCCACTACATTGATGCCATGGAAGAGAACGCTTCGCCCTGTGGAGTCTACAAAGCTCTGGGTCGTAGGATCCACGCGCACACCAGACTCAGTCGAAGCTGGACTCAGCAGAAGGAACGCTGCAAGGATTGCAGAAATCCCCCCACTTGCCCGGGATACCATCATTCGCAGGTATGTGGGAACAGCGCTCTGCTGCCACTGCAATGTCTACAACGACCTAGGGGCGACGAGGATGCCACTGCGGATACTTATGCGCAAGGCAACACCTTCCTGCGAAGCCTTTTATGGGTATGGGATTCAAGATCTAAGGAAGTCTTAGGCATAGCGGCGCTTATTCTCGACAATCCGTTTCACCTGGGCCCACGCTTTTCGAGCCAGAAAAGGATGGAACGAGTCGGGCTTGCAATGAGTTCGTGCTTCGAGATGTTCGATCCCGGATGGAAGGGCTCAGCCAACAGGATTCCAGATGAGCTATGGACAAAACTCCCTAAACCTGGCCTATGTAAGGGATTTTATAGGGACGAAACTAACAAGTGCTAATCCGTAAGCCCAAACCCACCTACACCTAAACCTGGACCCTAAACCCCCAAAGCCCTAAACCTTAAACCCGAAATCTACCCTAAGACTCTGAAAGACTGGCAGCTTCGACTCGTTTCGGATGGCTCTGGTCCTGGGCGCAGGGCTTTCCGAGGGGTTGCGGTTGGGGTTTGGGGGGATGTAGGGTTTCTAAGGTTTGGGTGGCTTTGGGTTTGGGAGTTAAGGGTTGGGGTTGAGGGATTTATGGTTTAAGGTTTCAGTGATTCTTACTAGTATTACAATGAATATTTCTACTACTACTACTACTACTACTACTACTACCACCACTACTACCACCACCACCACTACCACTACGACTACGACTACGACTACTACTACTACTACCACCACCACCACTACCACTACGACGACGACTACTACTACTACTACTACTACCACTACTACCACCACTACGACGACGACTACTACTACCACTACTACTACTCCTCCTCCTCCTCCTCC